TATATATATATATATATATATATATATATATATATATATATATATATATATATCTCAGACTATGATCTGATTGAAATGTCTGAACTGGCACTATTGAAATAAAGCTTTGACTGTTTTGAATTTGACCTCTTTCAGCTCCCTGTGTCCTGTCATCTACGGCCATCTTGTGAGTGCAGACTTCAGTTGATTTATTGCATGTTTCTGCCCCTCAGCCCTCAGGAAGTGTTTTTGTCATCCTTTCATTTATCTTATTATGTTACTATGCATTACTAGCTGGTGAAAGCTGCCCTGGCTTTGGCGTTATTTGGAGGCAGACAAAAACATACAGATAAGAGCAGTGTGCCAGTGAGAGGAGATCCACACATCCTGATAGTGGGAGATCCTGGACTGGGAAAGAGTCAAATGTTACAGGTACAAAAGAACTGGCAGGAAGTAGAAGTAAAAGTATAAGAGAGTAAAAGCATTGATATGATTTGGGTTTCTTTTCTTCATCTTTAAGGCGGTGTGTAACGTGGCTCCCAGGGGAATCTATGTATGCGGCAATAGCACAAGCACCACAGGTGAAACGGCTTTAAAATTTAAATCTTTACTTTGTGCCTCTCAAATCACAGTCAGGATAAAACGAATCTCGCCCCTTTATAATTCCAGGCTTTTATTTGAACCTAATAAAAGCTTCTTCACTTTGGTGTTACCCTGTTTAATGAATGATTACAGCATAGAATGTTTTTTTTTTTTCAAATTGCTTAACCTGCTGAAGCCTAGATGCACAGATACACAGAATCCTAGAACTGACAGAGGATGTACCTTCTTTTTACTATAACTGAACCTGTTTTAAATACCATTTTTAGTTCTGGTTATGATAGTTTGGTTCCAAATGTAACATTCAATGTTTTTGTTTCTGTAGGACTAACAGTGAGTCTGTCCAGAGAGGCAGGAACAGGAGATTACGCTCTGGAGGCAGGTGCCTTGGTGCTGGCCGACCAAGGTAGTAAAAATATCTCTGTTTCAATCAAGCAGTCAATCAATATTTGTCAACTAGAATTTGCATTGTAATTCAATTCAGTTTATTTTTATAGCGCCAATTCTCAACACATGTCATTTCAAGGCACTTTATAGAGACAATTCAATCAGATCATACAGTAAGGTTGATTAAACATTTTCTATTTAAGGAAAACCAGTTGATTGCATCGACTCATTGACTCAAAGGCAATCCCTCACACTAAGCATACTTGTAGG